CAGGTCAGTTTGTGTCAGCTTGACTTGGTTCCCTTAACCTTGGCATTGCACACATAGAGCTCAGAGGTCATTTCGTCATTTGTCACAGAGTCTTAACCCATCTCGGTTTGCTATTGGCCGAACACATGCTATTGCACCGGACAGGTAGTTTGGTCCACAGAAGAAACTAATATACCGCTCCAGATATGTAGCAAAGGAAACATGGGTTTTCAGGTTATACGGCTTCATTAGGATTACACTGAAGTGATGGATCCATGTAAAACAACAACATGCCAAAAGTACTTTGATGAATGACAAAAGGAGGTGTGAAGTTCACTATTGCACCATTTAAAAACTTTGAATGTGAAGTGCCAGGGGCAGAAGTCAGAAACTTGGTAAAGTTTGCAACACTCATGAGAAAAGCTCCAAACCCCAAACCCTTGTCCCCGGTGGGGCAAAATCAGAAGTGAGGCAAAGCAGAGAGAGGATGCGTTGGTGTGGTTTGATGGTTTGAGGTAGACAGATAGAGACACAGATGTGTAACAGCATCCTGCAACACTCACAGTTGAAGATGCCCGGCGGAGGGTGTTGGGTGACCACAGGGCAGTTCTCCTCATCGCTGTTGTCCCCACAGTTATTCAGCTGGTTGCAGATCAGCGAGCCCAGACGCAAGCAATTCCCATTGGTGCAGTGGAATTTGCACTCTGTACGGTGAGGGAATAAAAGACAAGTTAAATTTCTTAGCAAGAATAACAAACATTTAGTTGTCTGAAGCTGTACATTGAAATGAGGCAAAGCCTGATGTTAATACCACATTTTGTTTCCTATCAGAACAAAGTGTTCTATTCATTCAAGATCCCAGAGTCATAATCATCTTTTAAAGAATTAGTCTGCTTCTTCTCTGCTCTGGAAAGATCTATAATTAAAAAAAAACATTTAGAAACAATCACAATCAAACCATAGTGGAAAATTAAAATATATATAAAAATGCCTTTTGGTAAAAATACATGTTACAAAAGAGGGAAAGAGAGAGAAAAACACAAGTTGAAAAAAAAAGTCCGCCCACACACATACACCAGTGTCACTGCAGTAGTAGTGCATGCAGGCGAGCTCTAAAATGTGTAAAAGCATTGATAAACCGCACAGACAACAAAATGTTCAAATGCTGGACTGTTATGTGAAATCCTCGCCGTTATCTACGCTTCAGAATGTGCAAGGTCGCGTGGAATGATTTTTTTTTTTTTACCTGTAAGCTCAAATACAAAGCAGAGTTAATGTGCTGAGTTCACACAGAAACAAGGTCAGACAAAAAAGTGGTCTCCCGTTCAAAACAACAAATAAATAAACAGCTCTTTCAAACGGCCCTTTGATGTGCCGCAGCCCTGAACCGTAATGTGCTCCCGTCATGGCTATTACCAAAATGCTTCTCTCCCTCTAAATATTAATACGCCTGATTAGTGCTATCTGGTTAGAAAAAAACATAAAAACCCTCCAAACTGTAAATGGGAAAGTATATATATATATATATATATATGTGTGTGTGTGTAATCATGTAGAGCTTTAATCGTAACAAATAAGAATAATAACAACCAAGTGTTTGATGCACCACAAAGCAAGGCCATGTTAGTGTGGCTCAGAGTGTTATGTGTGTGTTTTTAGTGAAGGCGATATGTGAGAGCTGCACTCACGCCGAGTTCGCCAGAACTTCACCGACTGCAAGAACAGCGAGACATGAATGACAGTGTTGATGTGCACTCGCACAGACTGTGATGGTTTTTCCTGTGACACATTATGATTGATATGTTTTTCGATCATACGTGGAGGAAAAATGCGTTTATGCTGAATGGAAAAAAGTGTTTTAAAAAAATCAAGAAAAAAATATCATAGTAAAAATTTCCTTAAATTGTCGCTAGTTTTTACTCTAAGGAAGACAAAACTCGCACTCTATGCCAGCACTGTGACAATAGCTCTTAGTGTAGATGCAGTCTTTTCTTTTTAGTGCCTTGCACTATGAGTTATCAACATCTGGTGTGTAGACTACCCACAATCCAACATGACCACCACCTGTAAAAATGATGCTTTAAATAGAAGATCCCAGTTTTTGGGATGTAACAAAAAAAGTCATGTGTTACAGATTACCAGTTTTTTCTCCTAAAAGTAATGCAGTTCATTACTTAACACTACTTGTTGCATGCAGATACATGTTAATGTGCGTTAATCCGTAAAATGATCTGAAATAGCTTGTCACATAATTATCAGGCTAACCTCAGGTTACAAATGCCTCACCAACAACAACGAAAAATCCCTGTCCTAATGACAACACACACACACACACACACAATCTTTCTTTTAGTTTTAATGTATGAACACAAAACCTGAAAACTTGTCACGATCCTGGGTCCTATGACCCAGTGTTTTGACTTTTAGTTTATTTTGATAGTTTATGATGAAGCTCATTAGCTTTTCTAGTTCATTTGTTATTAGATTCCTCTTGTGTCTTCCAACCCCTGTTAAGTCTCTCTTGCCCTTCATGTGTTTCGTGTCTGTGTCTTACGTTGTCAAGTTCAGGTTGTCATGTCTGCGTCTCATTATGTTTCCTGTTTTATTTTGAAGGGGTCCTGTGTTCCTATGTTCAATGTTTTTAGTTTTACTCTCCCCTTGTGTGTCAGCTGTTTCTCCATGTGTTTCCATTTCCCTCATTATCCTCCTGTGTGTATTTAGTCCGTGTGCTTTCAGTCATTCCTTGTCAGGTCGTCTGCTCATCCACGTCACAACTTCAGGTATCCATGTCAGTTCACCATGTTTACGGTTTTTTCATGTTTAGTTTTAGTTCACCCAGTTTAGGTTATTGTTTAGTTTCACCTATGCCCTTTGTTTGTACCTTGTTTCCTAGCCTTAATAAACGGCTTGTTTTTTGTTAAATCCACGTCACGTTCAGTTTTTGGTCTGCGTTTGAGTCCTCTCTTGCAAACACATACAGTCTGCCTCAGCCAGACTGTGATAGAACTAGCTAAGAGAGACTTGAAATCGCCATAATGAGTCAACTGTAGAAACATACAGGTAGAAACAAAGGCTACAAGCTTGACTGCTTATCACTGCTTTTGTTAACTGCTGAAGTTCAGGCTCTGGCAGCTGAACTGGGGTCTGCATACACTCAGCTTCAGCATTACTCTGGGTTCTTGGCTCGCTTTGTGTTAACATGCCATCTGTGCAGATGCTTGCCGACAGTACAATGTACACTACCAATATAATACAGTTGTTTCTGTCTTAAACACAGCTTGCACTTTGCCCTCACACACACGCCCATACTCTCACTCCTCAAACGCTGTAGAATGCTCCACCATTTCCTTCATCCAGGCACACTGAAAAAAAAAATTGTTTGCCCATAACTGAAGAGGCCTTTGTAACACAAATAACAACATAATTGCAGCTGTTATGTATTAACTTACTTAAGTTACTGCATGACAGAAAAATGTAATGCGGTTAAAGTAATTAATTACTGCGTAACTATTTGTTGAGGAATTTGAGGTTCAGGCTGGACTCTGAATGTAAGCAGTAGATTTGCACCAGACTACAGACTTGTGATTTTTGTCAGTTTATCACAGTAAATATTTATCTTTATTATCACAAACAGATTGGATGTAATCACCAAATCAACCCCGTTCACTCACAAACTGATAGCAGACCAGTGGCAGACTGACTCGTCTTATTGCAGATTTATCTTTGATGCGCCAAAGTCACTTTGAAGAGTGGAATAGGCCACCAAATGTTTGAGGGCCTGGTGCAAGCAACCACTTCAAAAGACTCATCAGTAAGTTGTTATAATTTTGGTCACGTGGGATTCTCTGGGCACTCCAACAAGGCGGGTCTTCACTATGTTATGAATCATCAATCCACAAAGTTTTACTTACTTACTAATTAGCACCTGTTCTGATCATCAAGAAAGCAAAGTTAGAAAGTAGAAAACTTTTTTGGCTTATGCACTAGGCAAGCAATTCTCTGAGTGCTCTATCGAGTCCTCTTGGTTATGCTGTTATTAGCTGATACAGCCTGGAGCTGCTAGCCTGCAGCAAAGACGAGGGGCTGCAGAGATCACTTTCTCGGTCTCCACACCTCAAGATTTTATTTTCTCTGACCCACCTGTTTTTTATTCAAGTGACATCACATTTATCAGACTTCACACTACAGGCATCAAAGGCTGTATAAAACTTAGATCACATATGCAGTTGTATTCCCCAGTACTGGTAAGCAGACTTTGGTGGTGTAAAATTTGTGGAGCTCTCCTTGTTCTTCAAGACACGACCTCCTTTTGGGAACTGTACCTTATAAAGGAAAGAAGGCATTTGTTTCCAGTACAGGTTGGCTGTTTGAAGTCTAATAAATGTCCTTAAGGTATGCTACTGGCAGTGTGAAGTTAAATAATAGAAACCCCTCTCTACTTGATACTAATAAAACACCAGAATCTCTGTGTCACCGGTCAAGTTACATTGCAAGTGCTAGTAGGTACTAGGCTTCTGACAAATTGGAACAGTTTTTGGATTAAAAAATGTAACATCTCTGAACTACACAGAGAGATATGCAAAATGCTTCGGGCAATATCTTGTGCTTTTACACATGATACAGAGTTTTTAATTCTTGCATCTTTTCACAAGGTCAACTACAAAAGCAGATTCTTCTTTTTTGTTTTCCCCACAAAAAAACATTAATAATAGAAACAAAACTAAAATTGAATGATGATGACCAATTCACCCCAAAAGGTAAAACCAAGGGCAAAATTTAGTTTCTTTTAAGTGTTTTCAAGAAAAGGTACCACAATAAAACTTGTCCATAACTACTCAAGTCAATCACTTGCCATGTGGCTAATAGGGATGCACCGATACCGGTATCGGTATCCCACTAGGGATGCACCAATACCGATACCGGTATCGGTGCATCCCTAGTGGCTAACTATAAAATGAAACTCAACGATAAGCTCAGCAGGGCACAGCTGATGTTCTTCACAGACTTAATTGTAGATACTGAACAATTAATCACTTTACGGTAGTAAACCTGAAGAGTGCAACGCAAGCCATAAACTCTGAACATTCAAAATAAAAGCTGCACCTTTTGAAATGGGTTCATTTCAGCAGTAATAAAGAAGTTTTACTTTGAAAGGTAACTTTCAAAGTAAAACTTCTGGGCCACCTGGGCCACTTCTACCACCTGAGCTACAGCCACCCCAGAAGTTTTACTTTGAAAGGTAACTTTCAGAGCATCTACTGATCGGAAGGTTGGTGGTTCGATCCCTGGCTTCCCCAGTCTGCATGCCAAATATCCTTGGGCAAGATACTAACCCCAAATTGCTCTCCGATGCATCCATCGGAGTATGAATGTGTGTGAATGTTACTTAGAAAGCACTTAGAAAAATGTGCTTGTGCGAATGGGTGTGAATGGGTTAATGTACAAGTTGTGTACAGCGCTTTGAGTGCTCAGAAAGAGTAGAAAAGCGCTATAAAAGAACCAGTCCATTTACCATTTACTTTCTCTATTTCTGGTTTGCATCACACTTTTTTCAATGGCTAAGTAAAATTTGCAGACAAGAGAGCATCTTCCACACAAACTACATGCAACTGTGATAACCTGATAGCGACAGAAATGGGCCAGTATAGTCTTTGAAACTGGTTTTACCCAGTGACAGCCAGCCTGCACTTGCCAACAGGTTGAG